TTAAGCAAAGAAAGAGAACATATCAGTTTCTGAAATGCAACAGCCATGGCAAGCACATCAACTAACTATCTTACTATTCAAAATTCAATTAATATTTAGCTCATGAAGACTTGAATGGAAAATGTTACAGAAGCTGTTAAAGTTCTATACTTTCTAACGGTAGCTTCAAGTTCCGATAGTTACTGAAACAAAACGCTGCGTTTTGTTTATACTTTGAGTTTTGAAGAACAAGCTGTCATGAAGATCAGAAGTACAAAAAGAACAAGCTAGGGATTCTCAGAGTGATTTGTATATGATTTTTGTTTGACTTTCAACTTCTCAGAGTGAATTTTGATGGCTGAATTTGCTTTGGCGTTGCTGTGAGTAAATTTTGCTCGCTAAATTCTGGGCAGTGTTGCCGACACTGAATTTGTGGTGGTGATGAATGGTGATGACGTTGATGAATGGTGTAACATCTGGTGTTTACAATTGTAGTAAAATTACAAATCATTAGAACATTGAAGTTATCTTTGTGGAAACACTAATCATATATTATATGAATAGCTTAATTACGCTAAATTTTCATTTCACATCCTTGGTTATTTTTTGAATTGTAATTCAAGTAACAAGGGAAAAATAACAAAACCATAAAGTAGCATTAAAGTGCTTGAAATCCAAAACTTCCTAATACAACAGTCTCTTTATGACTGTTTTTAAATTCGTTCAAACACTTAAACTTTGAACTCATGACTGTTTTTAAATTCGTTCAAACACTTAAACTTTGAACTCAATAAAGTAAATTTCCTCACTAACAGGAAATTATTTGTGCGGAATATATATAAACATATTATATATAACAAGAAGCAAGATATGCAGATAGTTTTGTCAAACAGAGTACAAAAGTTGGAAAAAAGAAGTTAAGAAAGTACACAGAAAAAGCTTTAATTAGAATTTTGAAAAAAACTCTAGGATTAGAACTTGAATACCCATGATAATACAATTAATCCTGCCTAGATTCAATTTGTGCATAAGAATCTCTCATCATCAACTGATGAAACTTTTTGAAATCATCAATGAGTAGAATTAATAAATACTATACATTTATAAGAGAAAATTTTAATTCTTACTTATTCAATCTATACTTTCTTCAACCTATACGTTAGTGTTTCTATAGATTGTTGAATCCTAGTGCCATATGTCTGCTTCACTTTCTGGCATGCCTCATGTATATACTGAATCCACACCCCAAATTGGCAATTGAAGGAGCTACGGGCAAATATTTAGCAACACATTCAAATCCCATCTCCATACACAAGCAATCCTGCGCAAGTTTGTTGCCTATGGCAGGGCACCGATTGTTCGTACCCGCCTTTTCTCATTATTTCATAAAATGTTGTCCTCATGGTCGAAAAATTGGTCTTGTCGACAGAGGCTATAACACCATGGGCCATTGCTTGAATTTTCTTAGCAGAAGTTACTGCCTTTAAGATAGAAGTATTTGATCCAGAAGTTAATAGTGCTGGGCCGAAAACTTTGGTGTTGCCTAAAGCTATAGCCATTGCTTTTTGGGCTTGAAAGCTAAAGCAAAAACAACGAATTTAAACATTGCAACCTCCATGAAGGTTGATGTGAGAAGAAGTTTAGTAAGAGATGAAGCTCCTAGAACAACAGTTGCTTCAGCACCCATAGCTACGATAGGTTTATTAGAAAATAAACGTTTCTTTTCCATGTGATTTCAAGTTTCCCCATCATCTTCTCAGCTTGTAACAGACTCTCCAATCAAATCTTTGACCTTATCAGGAATATGAGTACTCCAATGTTTTCGAAGCCTAGCTAAATAACTAGCATCCACTACTACTACCACAGTCTTGAATTTCTTAGCTTGACTTTGAAGAGACTATGCAAGAAATGCTTGCAATTTATCCTTAAGTGGAAGCTCAGAAAAATCAATAATAGATGAGTTAGAATCCCTAATTTATTGATAGGTAGCCGAGCGACAATGTTAAGAGTAATTCTCAACCCCTCAACTACAATTTGAAAGGTGTAAACTTCATAAATAGCTTCAGTATCCATAACTTCCCCTTTGTTCACATCAAAAAGCATCTTTTGTGTAAGGGCAAGAGCTCTTGACATTGATGGGAGATCAGCAAATATATCACACAAATCCAAGAGTAATGGATAAGTGATTGTGCAAATGACGGAATCAAATAGCTGCATCTCAACTGAAATTCCTTTGACNGTAATTTTATTTATTTATTTATTTATTGGATCATTAAATTTTTGAGGAGAAGTGGTCCAATTGAATAGAGTTGGGCTTATTTTCGGAAGATTTTTGAATTTTTGAACGAAAATGCAGTTTGGAGAAGAGTATTAACATTATTATATTAAAAAAATAGTACCCATAGCGTATGCTGTGTTATTTGTCTACCAACTAATGTGAGATTAATTGGTTGCATTTTGGCTTGGTTAAAAATTGGATTATGAAAGGGTACATCAGTTTAATGGAAGATTTAATTTCCGTCAGCAACCGTTGATCTTGACTTGATGAAATCAACCGTTGGTGTTAAGCAAAGAAAAAGAACAGATCAGTTTCTGAAATGCAACAGGCACAGCAAGCACATCAACCAACTAACTTACTATTCAAAATTCAGTTAATATTTAGCTCATGAAGACTTGAACGGAAAATGTTACAGAAGCTGTTAAAGTTCTATACTTTCTAACGTTAGCTTCAAGTTCTGTTAGTTACTTAAGCAAAACGCTTCATTTTGTTTATACTCTGAGTTTTGAAGAACGAGCTGCTCATGAAGATCAGAAGTACAAAAAGAACAAGCAGGGTAGATGCTCAGGTTGTAAAGTGTTTAAAGGCATTTATGATTTGTGTTTGATTAGGTGGCCAGCTTGTACTCAAGGTCATGTATATAAACAATTGGCTCATGTATATGATTTGTGTTTGACTTTCAGCTTCTCAGAGTGAATTTTGGTGGCTGAATTTGCTTTGGCGTTGCCATGAGTGAGTTTTGCTGGCAAAATTCTGGGCGGTGTTGCTGGCACTGAATTTGTAGTAAAATTACAGATCATTAGAATACTGAAGATATCTTTGTGAAAACACTAATCATATATTATATGAATAGCTTAATTACGCTAAATTTTCATTTCACATCCTTGATTATTTTTTCTGAATTGTAATTCAAGTAAAAAGGGAAAAATAACAAAGCCATAAAGTAGCATTAAAGTGCTTGAAACCCAAAATTTCTTAATACAACAGTCTCTTTATGACTGCTTTTAAATCCATTCAAACACTTAAAACTTGAGCTCAATAAAGTAAATTTCCTCACTAACAGAAAATTATTTTTGCAGAATATATATAAACATATTATATATAACAAGAAGCAAGATATGCATATAGTTTTGTCAAAAGAGAGTACGAAAATTGGAAAAAAGAAGTTAAGAAAGTACACAGAAAAAGCTTTAATTAGAATTTTGAAAAAACTCTATGATTAGAACTTAGACACCCATGATAATACAATTAATCCTGCCTAGATTTAATTTGTACATATGAATCTCTCATCATCAACTCTGAAACTTTTTGAAATCATCAATGAGTAGAACTATAAATGCTACACATTTATAAGAGAAAAGTTTAATTCTTACTTTATTCAATCTATACTTTCTTCAACCTGTACGTCAATGATTCTATAGATTGTTGAATCCTAATGCCATCTGTCTGCTTCACTTTCTGGCATGCCTCATGTAGATACTGAATCCACACCCCAAATTGGCAATTGAAGGAGCTACGGGAAAAGATTTAGCAACACATTCAATCCCAGCTCCATACACAAGCAATCCCGAGCAAGTTTGTTGCCCATGGTTGGACATCGATTGTTCGTACCCGCCTTTTTCTCATTATTTCATAAAATGTTGTTCTCATGGTTGAAAACCTAGTCTTCTCGACAGAGGCTATGACGCCATGCGCCACTACCTAAATTTTGACCGCAAAAGTTACTGCCTTTAAGACAGAAGTATTTGATCTAGAAGTTCCTAGTCTTGGGACAAAAACTTTGGTGTTTCCTAAAGCTATCACCATTGCTTTCTAGGCTTGGGTTAGAAAAAGCTTAAGCAAAACAGGAAATTTAAACGTTGCAACCTTCATGAAGGTTTATGCAGGATGAAGTTTAGTGAGAGATGAAGCTCCTAAAACAGCAGTTGCTCCAACACCCACAGCCATGACAGGTTTATTAGAAAACAAACGTTTCTTATTCATGTGATTTGAAGTTTCCCTATCATCTTCACAGCTTGTAATAGACTCCCCAATCAAATGTTTGACCTTATCAAGAATAGGAGTATTCCAATGTTTCTGAAGCCCACCTAAATAACTAGTATCCACTACTGCTACCACAGTTTTGAATTTCTTAGCTTTACTTTGTAGAGAATGTGCAAGGAATAATTGTTATTTATCCTCAAGTGGAAGCTTAGAAAAATCAATATTAGATGAGTTAGAATCCCTAATGTATTGATAGGTAGTCGAGCAACATTCTTAAGAGTGATTCTCAACCCCTCAACTACAATTCGAAAGGTTTAAACTTAGAAATAACTTAAGTTTCCACAACTTCCCGTCTGTTCACATCAGAAACATCTTTTGTGCAAGGGCAAGAGCTCTTGACATTGATGGGAGATCAGCAATTATATCACGCAAATCCAAGAGTAAGGGATAAATGGATTGTGCAAATGACGGAATCGAATAACCGCGTCTCAACTGAAATTCCTTTGACAAATCAAAATTAGAATTGGGAGGCCTCAATCTCAACCCAAACAAATCCAAATCTGAAGATAACAATCTCGCCATTAGTGACTCAACATCATTAGTAAGATAAAATCTCCTTGTAATCGACAAGACAACCAAGCCCACTTTCTGTGGAACCAAACTACTTAACAAACATTGACCTTTGTCCCTAATTAACTTCCCCAGAAGGTTTATCCACAATAGGGTCTCTAACCGTAGATCAACCAAACACTATAAAGGATCAACCAATCTCCTTGGCTGCCCTTTTAGCAGCCCAAAAAAGACCATTAAAACCAATCCCAAAAATCTCCCTCAAAATCAAGTTCCCAGCCACATTCTCATATGCTATCCTATCAACAAAACATCGTTCAATCACGCTAGACAAAGAAGTAGGAACTGAGTTATCACCTTTATCTCCTAATTCAATCTCCTCACATTGCACTTTATTCTGGACACCTAGAGCTGATCACTTGATAAATTCTGGGCACAAAGTATATACACCACAATTTTGATTCAGGTTCTCTAATTGAGAAAACAAACATTTTCGTGTGTTCCGGTATGCGAAGCCTGCGAACTAACTCATCAGAAGCTCTCAAGTCATCAGATTTTAATAATGAAAATGGCCACCCGTTTTGCAGATTTGAAACCAATCCAATTGCCATTAACATCACCAAAATTTGTAACAAACAAAATAATCAACAAGATCAAAGCCTATCCTACATTCATTAAGCAAAATTGCGTGAAAATTTCTATTCAAAAAAGTGTATCTAACAAAATAGAGGTATTTAATATTTAAATAACATACAAAATTTTCATTCGAAGAATGAAAGAAAATGAAAAATAAATGAAAAATAAATAATAGAAAAATACATACCGGTCTAACGGCGTCCATTTCAAAGATAATTAATTATTAGAACACCAAATTCATAATACAGCTCTTGCAGATTCACCATCATACATATACCTAGAATATATACATATGTCCTTTAATTATTAGAACACCAAATTCATAATATATGTTTCAAAGATAATTAATCAAATTCATAAGCTTTGAATCAAATACACTTCAAAATATATATTTTTGGGTACTATTTGTGTTCAAAATGAGGAATTACAATTAAATTACAAATCAATGAATCTTAAAATACATGTAATAATTTACCTAGAACATGTGAGGTGTCATTGAGTTCATATAACTCCATGTTCGAACGGTTGAGCGAAGTGAAAGCACCAATGCTTTGCAAAAGGCTTTTATGGAGAGCAGCCATCCAAGGTTAACTCTTTCAAAAATCGGAATGAGCAGCCAAGTGATTGTAAAAGAGTGTTTGTTGGTGCTTTTGATNCAAACTACTTACCAAACATTGACCTCTATCCCCTAATTAACTTCCCAAGAAGATTTATCCACAACAGGGTCTCTAACCATAGATGATTCAAGCACTATAAATAATCAACCAACCTCAGCCAAAAAAGGACCATTAAAACCAATCCAAAAATCTCTCTCAAAATCAAGTTCCCAACAGCATTCTCATATGATTTCTTATCAATCCTATCAATAAAATATCGTTTAATCACTCCAAACAAAGAAGTAGGAACCGAGTCATCACCTTTATCTCCTAATTCAAACTCCTCACATTGCACTTTATTTTGAACACCTAAAGTCAACCACTCCGATAAATTCTGGGCACAAAGTATATACACCACAATTTTGATTCAGATTCTCTAATTGAGAAAACAAACATTTTTGTGTGTTCCAGTATGCGAAGCTGCGAGCTAACTCATCAAAAGCTCTTAAGTCACCAGATTTTAATAATGAAAATGGTCACACGTTTTGCGATTTGAAACCAATCCAATTGCCATTAAAATTACATTAACATCACCAAAATCTGTAACAAACAAAATAGTCAACAAGATCAAAGCCTATCCTACATTCATTAAGCAAAACTGAGTAAAAATTTCTATTCAAAAAAGTGTATCTGACAAAATAGAAATATTTAATATTTAAATAACATCAAAATTTCCATTCAAAGAATGAAAGAAAATTAAAAAAAAAATAATAGAAAAATACATACCAGCCTGATGGTGTCCATTTCAATGGCGTGATGGGAAGTTTGAGGGAAGTTTTTTGGTGGATCCGGTGTGGTAAGGACTTAAGAGTTAGGACTATTCTTGATGAATGTGAATAATGAATGTTGGCCTTATATGAGTAATCCGATGTGGTAAGGACTATTCTTGTAGGATAGTTCAAATATGAAAACCATTAATTGTCTGCCACATGGGAAGAGATATTTGGAGTCTATATGTCATTAGTCCTAAAAACTACCTGACCAAACCTTGAGTTTGACGGGATGCTTAACAGCAGCCTCAACTATACTCACATGACCGTGAACTCTACAAGAGCTTTGCTTTAGGCTCCTCGAAAGGCATTCGCTCAATTATATTATATGCCTCTTCTAGCCTTCCAACATGACCTAGAAGGGCAACCATCTAAGCATAATGCTCCTTTTCGAAAACAGTCAACGCCTTTCATACCCTCAACTCACTCAATTCATCTTTATCACAGACAAGGCAAGCGCATGCTCACATCCTCCAAATTGGCATCTTTAAGGACACAGNTATATAATAATGCAAACTTTATTATTTGTCTACCACCTAATGTGAGAGTCATTAGTTGCATTTTCGATTGGTTAAAAATTGGATTATGAAAGGCTACATCTTTTTAATGGAAGATTTAATTTCTATCAGCAACCATTGATCCTGACTTGTAAGAATCAACCAAAGACCTGATGTACTATACTTTCTAAAGGTGGCCTCAAGTTTCGTTAGTCATCCGTTAGTTACTTAAATAAAACACCACGTTTTGTTTATACTCTTTTGAAGAACAAGCTGCTCATGAAGATCGGAAGTACAAAAAGAAAAGCTGGGAGATGATCAGGTTGTAGACTGTTTAAAGGCATTTATGATTTGTGTTTGATTAGGTGGCCAGCTTGTACTCAAGGTCATGTATATAAACAATTGGCTCATGTATACTATTTGTGCTTGACTTTCAGCTTCTCAGAGTGAATTTTTCTTGCTGAATTTGCTTTGGCGTTGCTGTGAGTGAATTTTGGTGGATAAATTCCAGACAGTGTTGCCGACACTGAATTTATGGTGGTGATGAACAGTGATAACGTTGATGAATGGTGTAACATCCCGTGTTTAGACTTGTAGTAAAATTACAAATCATTAGAACACTGAAGTTATCTTTGTGGAAAAACTAATCATATATTATTGAATAGCTTAATTACGCTAAATTTTCATTTCACATCCTTAGTTATTTTTATGAATTGTAATTCAAGCAACAAGGGAAAAATAACAAAGCCATAAAGTTGCATTAAAGTGCTTGAAATCCAAAATTTCCTAATACAAGAGACTCTTTATGACTGTTTTTAAATCCATTCAAACACTTAAACTTTGAACTTAATAAAGTAAATTTCCTCACTAACAGAGTACGAAAGTTGGAAAACAGAAGTTAAGAATCGTACACTTCTACTTTAATTAGAATTTTGAAAAAAACTCTATGATTAGAACTTGAACACCCATGATAATACAATTAATCCCGCTTAGATTCAATTTGTGCATAAGAATCTCTCATCATCAACTGATAAAACTTTTTGAAATAATCAATGAGTAGAATTAATATACATTTATAAGAGAAAAGTTTAATTCTTACTTTATTCAATCTATACTTTCTTCAACTTGTACGTCAGTGATTCTATAGATTGTTGAATTTTTGGTGCCATTTATTTGCTTCACTTTCTGGCATGCCTCATGTAGATACTGAATCCATGCCTCAAATTGGCAATTGAAGGAGCTACGGGCAAAGATTTAGCAACATATTCAATCCCATCTCCATACCCAAGCAATCCTGCGCAAGTTTGTTGCCCATGGTTGGACACAGACTGTTCGTACCCGCCTTTTTCTCATTCTTTCATAAAATGCTGTTCTCATGGTTGAAAAACTAGTCTTCTCGATAGAGGTTATGACACTGTGGGCCACTGCCTGAATTTTCACAGCAAAAGTTACTACCTTTAAGACAGAAGTATTTGATCCAGAAGTTCCTAGTCTTGGGGCGAAAACTTTGGTGTTGCCTAAAGCTATCGCCATTGCCTTCTAGGCTTGAGTTAGAAAAAAACTTAAGCAAAACAGGAAATTTAAACGTTACAACCTTCATGAAGGTTGATGCAGGAAGAAGTTTAGTGAGAGATGAAGCTCTTAAAACAGCAGTTGCTTCAACACCCACAGCCACGACAGGTTTATTAGAAAAGAAACGTTTCTTATTCATGTGATTTGAGGTTTCCCCATCATCTTCACAACTTGTAACAGACTCTCCAATAAAATCTTTGAACTTCTCAGGAATCGAAGTATTCCAATATTTCTGAAGCCTAGGTAAGTACCTAGCATCCACTACTGCTACCACAGTCTTGATTTTCTTAGCTTGACTTTGAAGAGACCGTGCAAGGAATGCTTGCGATTTATCCTGAAGTGGAAGCTCAGAAAAATCAATAATAGATGAGTTAGAATCCCTAACTTATTGATAGGTAGCCGAGCGGCAATGTTAAGAGCAATTCTCAACCACTCAACTACAATTTGAAAGGTGTAAGCTTCATAAATAACTTCAGTATCCATAACTTCCCCTCTGTTCACATCAAAAAGCATCTTTTGTGCAAGGGCAAGAGCTCTTGACATTGATGGGAGATCAGCAAATATATCACGCAAATCCAAGAGTAATGGATAAATGATTGTGCAGATGACAGAATCGCATCTCAACTGAAATTCCTTTGACGAATCCAAATTAGAATTGGGACGCCTCAATCTCAACCCAAACAAATCCATATCTGAAGATAACAATCTCGTCATCAGTGACTCAACATCATTAGTAAGAAAAAACCTCTTTGTAATTGATGAGACAACCAGGTCCACTTTTGGTGGAGCCAAACTACTTAGCAAATATTGACCTTTATCCCCTAATAAACTTCCCCAGAACATTTATCCACAACAGGGTCTCTAACCATAGATGATTCATGCACTATAAACAATCAACCAACCCAAAAAAGGACCATTAAAACCAATCCCAGAAATCTCCCTCAAAATCAAGTTCCCAGCCACATTCTCATATGCTTTCCTATCAATCCTATCAACAAAACATCGTTTAATCACTCCAAACAAAGAAGTAAGAACTGAGTCATCATCTTTATCTCCTAATTCAATCTCCTCACATTGCACTTTTCTCTGAACACCTAAAGCCGATCAGTCCGATTAATTATGGGCACAAAGTATTTACACCACAATTTTGACTCAGGTTCTCTAATTGAGAAAACAAACATTTTCGTGTGTTTTGGTATGTACAGAAGCTCTCAAGTCATCAGATTTTAATAATGAAAATGGCCACACGTTTGCATATCTGAAACCAATCTAATTGCCATCAAAATTACATTAACATCACCAAAATATGTAATAAACAAAATAGTCAACAAGATCAAAGTCTATCCTACATTCATTAAGCAAAATTGGGAGAAAATTTCTATTCAAAAAAGTGTATCTAACAAAATAGTTTAAATAACATGCAAAATTTCTAATAATGAAAATTTCTGTTAATATGTAATATTTAAATAGCATGCAAAATTTTCATTCGAAGAATGAAGAAAATTAACAAAAAAAAAAAAGAAAAAAAAATAAATAATAGAAAAATACATACCGGTCTGACGACGTCCATTTCAACGGCGTGACGGGAAGTTTGACGGCGGTTTATGGTGGATCTAAAAATTTGATGAATGCGAGTAATGAATATTGGCTTTATATGAGTAAACTGGTGTGGTGTGGTAAGGACTATTCTTGTAGGATGAGTTCAAATATAAAAACCATTAATTGTCTGCCATGTGGAAAGGGGTATTTGGAGTCTATATTTCATTAGTCCCGAAAACTAACTGACTTGAGCCACCTGACCTTGAGAATTTAAGAGTGATGTTTGTATAACAAGAGCTCTTCTAGTTCAAAGTGATGGTTAACAGTAGCCTCAACTATACTGACATTACCGTGAACTCTTTGCATTTGGCTCGAAAGGCATTCGCTTAATCATGTTATATGCCTCTTCTAGCCTTCCAACACGACCTAGAAGGGTAACCATGCAAGCGTAATGCTCCATTTCAAAAAAATTCAATGCCTTTCATACCCTCAACTCACTCAATTCATCTATATCACAGACAAAGCAAGCGCATGCTCACATTCTCAAAACCAATGTCTCTAATGACGCAAATCTGGCAACAGAGCTTCTGTCTGAATATGCAAATCAATTTTAGTGCTCAACTGGATGATAATGTGATTCATATGGTGTTTGTATACGGGTTTAATTTAGATTCGTTTGTTCAGTCTTCTTTGATTCATATGTACATTAAATGTCAGAACATTGGGGACGCTCACAAAGTGTTTGACAGATTAGCCCAACCGGATGTGAAAACTTTTAGTGCTCTGCTTCCGGCTTACGCGCGACAAGGGTGCGTGGATGAAGCGAAAAACTCTTCAACGAGATGGGTAGTAGTTCACTTATTGATATGTATGGAAGATGTCCAAAGTGTTTCATGAAATGGAAAATTTGGATGTAAGTGCTTGCAATGCTTTTGTTACGGGTCTCTGTAGGAATGGTGTTGTTGACAAAGCATTGGAGGTCTTTAGGTAATTCCAGAGCCAAGGAATGGAATAAATGTTGTGTCTTGCACGTCAATGATTGCTGGTTCTCACAAAATGGGAAAGGTATTGAGGCATTGGAACTTTTTAGAGAGATGCAGATGGCGGGGATGAAGCCAAATAATGTTGCAATATCTTGCTTGCTATCAGCCTGTGTAAGTATTACAGCATTGATGCTTGGGAAGGTGACTCATTGCTTTTCTATCAGAAGAGGAATATTTGATGATATTTACGTGTCTGCGACACCAAGTGATATGTATGCAAAGTGTGGAAGGATTCAAATGTCACGACTTTGTTTTGGTGTGATGTCATCCAAAAACTCGGTTTGTTGGAACGCTACAATGTGTGGATATGCTCTGCATGGAAAGGTTAAAGAAGCTATAGAGATTTTTCATTTGATGCACAGGAGTGGACAAAAGCCTTGTTTTATTAGCTTCACTTCTGTATTATCTACCTGCAGCCAGACTGGCCTAGCTGATGAAGGCGCAAATTTTTTGATAGCATGTGTAAAGAGCATGGTATTGAAGCAAGGATAGAGCATTATGCTTGCATGGTGACCCTTCTAGGTCTTAATTTGTTTGAGCTTTGAAGAGTTGCTCTCTTATAACAGAGCTGCCCATCAATTTCTGCCCATTGTTTTCGATTCACCAACTTGATCACAGAAGTAATTATTCCTTAAATTGGCCAATGATTTTTGCATGTGAGTGTGTGTTGTTTCCGGGAAATTGATTCTAGGGAATTTTAATTTGAACAAATTGTAATATGTTTTTGCATTCTTCAAGTCTAAAAGCCATAAAATGGTGTGTTTCAAGTTCTAAAATATTAGGAAATTTTAAGAACGATTATTAGAAACTATACTTAGAGGCATTAAAGTGTTTGAAATCCAAAATTTACTGATGCAACAGTACTTTCTGTCTATGACTCCCTGTTTTAGATCCATTCAAACGCTTAAGACTATGAACTCAATGAAGCAAATTTTCTCATTAATAGCTGGCTAATTCTTTCAAATTCAACCAAATTAAAATGCACTGAATTTTTGTGAAAAATACATATAAAGATATTATAACTGAGTGGTGGCAATGCCGAGACTAGTTGTGTCCTCAAAATCTGCTCATCTGGCTTACTTATCCTTGGGGGTCAGAGGAAGGAGGAGGCAGGGAGGCAGGGAGGCAGGGAAGCAAGATATGCTGATATTTTTATCAAGCTGAGAGGGCATTGTCTTGGAGAAGACTTTTCAATTATATGACCATCTTAAGAGTTTCTTAGTGATGGAATGAATTGAATCTGTTGAAGTTTAAATATAGATACTCCAAGTCACTCAAATCCTGGAAATAATCAAATATTTTCGGGCGAATAAATCACAACATTATTCACAAAACAAGAAATTAAAAAAAAATAAAAAATTGTTGAAGTAAAATTGCAACATAAATATATCTTGGGAACCTTTCCTGTCTTCTGATTAAATGCATAAAAAAATCTATTTAATTGGACATGGCGTATGAACACAAGGAACACAATCTTTCCTCACAAAATTCCTCAATTGGTCTTCGGCCTCTTGGATGTGCTACCAACTCAAACAGTGCTAACTGAGTACCTTAGACTCAAATGTGGTCACCAATAGTCCCGACAGGAGCACAATCCATCTTTAAAATGGTGGAATCTCTCCTCAGCCTGTATAATGAGTTCTCTACCAACAATTTTCGAGATGATTTTCATTACAGCATGACAATCACCAAAAATACGAAAGTCTGTTACTATCCGAATTGGAGCACAGGCATGGCTGCAGAGGAGACCTTGCGATACAGCGAGTATCTCACTATGAGCAAGAAGAGCTTCCTCCTTACCTTCTTGGTCTATGTCATGTAGCACAAATTTTGCCTCCGGAATGTAACCAGCCTCTTTCATTTGATCCTTCAAACCTCTAATAAGAGCATATATCTTATCACTCTCTAGATGAGATGTGTCTCCTGTTTGAAAGTCATGGTACTTTCTCTCCCTTTTTTTTTTTCTCTTTCACAATATCCGATGCTTTAACAGGTACAAGTCCTAACTTTGTCTTGTCATTCAAACGTGAGGGATCTAGCTGCTCAACAAGCTCAGCACATCGGTCACCAAGCTCCAAATTCCCATGAATTCTGCAAACATTCATCAATGTCTCCCAAACATCAACACTTGCCTCCATTGGCATCTTTTCAACGAATTACAGGGCTTCATCTAAATACCCTGTGCAATCAAATTTATCAGCTATTAATATCTGATAAATTTGATTGCACAAGTGTCATATCTTAGAAAGTCCTTACTGGTGAAATCCTTGCTGAAAAATGAAGAAAAATTGAAACAACATTGCACTAAATTTGTCTTTCATTTGTTTAAAGGGAGGCTGTGAGTCTTACAGGTGTTTGTTGTTCTGAAGTTGCATATTTCCATAATTTGGTTTGGGTTTGTTAACTGCTCAACCTGGAAAAATTCAGTTTGTATATCATATATCAATTTTGGCTTGGTCGAAGATAATAGTAGTTGCCAAATTTTATTTTCTAGACATTAGAAAAGAGTTTGATGCAATGCTTGATTTTGGATTTTTAATTCAAATTTGCCATTAGAAGTATACTGTTTTTTCCTCAAATGCCAAATATTTTTTGTCTGTAAGTACTGTAGTTTTAAATATATTTTAGTTTTGCAGGTTTATCGTCATTTTGGAAATGCAACAGTTGGGCCTTTTGATCCTTGTGCCCATGTGAAGTGTAGTGTGTGCCAGGGCACCAGTGATGATAGTCTATATTACTGTACCTGAAGGTGATTGGTTTTGCCATGACTGATATTTTCAGGGCTGAACATAACAATGCTGAAATAGATACTGATGATGATGATCAAATTTATGAACCCGAAATAAAGTCCATGTTGCCTAATGATGCATGAACAACTTGGCTTCATGTACCAACTTCAAATCTGAACTATCTTCAAGATTGGCAAGTGAAACACTTGGTTAGTTTTATCTCTTGTTTTTATAATCGATTGTGTTTTTCTTTAAATCCAAGTTATTACATACAGATTATTATAATCAACTTGGTTTGATATCAACCCAATGACTTAGGAAAAGTAATTAAAATAAACATGGTGGAGGTTGCAGTGAGCTTCATTCTAGAGAGTTGGGTGCTTTGCTTTTCCAAGAAAGAAAGATGTTAAAAGGTAAGTATCTATTTGAAATAATGTTTTATTTGAGAATAAGCCAAGATGAGTCCATTAATACAGAAGCGGATTCAAATCCTGATAACAGAAGCAATAATTCCTGCCCATTGTTTTTCGATTGACCAATCCTGATCACAGAAGCAATAATTCCTTAAATTGGCCAATGATTTTTGCATGTGAGTATGTGTTGTTCCCGGGAAATCGATTCTGGGGAATTTTAATTTGAACAAATTATAATTTGTTTTTGCATTCTTCATGTCTAAAAGCCATAAAATGGTATGTTTCAAGTTTTAAAATATTAGGAAATTCTATCTATGTGGAAGCAAGATATGCCGATGGTTTTATCAAACAGAATACGCATTGTCTTGGAGAAGACTTCTCAATTATATGACCATCTTAAGAATAATATCCTTCGTCATGTGTAACTTTAAAATTGTAAATAGTTTTGTAGTCAATTTTGTGGCTATGATATGCGAAGTTCCAGTAAATTAACCTCATGATTGCAGCTTCATTAGAGAACATTGGAAAAGAAAAGTACATATAAGAAACGTACATATAACTAAACTACATTCTTCGAAGATGTAATGGCGTAGGGAGATGGTCTACAACAAAATAGTAGCTTGAGGTTGTCCACATCTCGACATGATAAAACCACGCACGTCGCCAATAAGGATTTATGTACAAAATTGTAGCAATTCCTAAGAGCACAATTATGTAGGACACCGTAAAACTGATATAGAAGATTTCCACGTCAATGAAATTGTTATCTTCATCATTTTCAGTTGAAGCTCTTGGCATTGATGATGATGATCCATTTGCATCACATTTGGGAAGTGGCGGTCCATAAAGAAGAGGATTCCCCTCATAACTACTTTCTCCAAAGGTTGCAAATTGATAATTCATCTCAGGAGTCTTACCAGATAAGTTATTGTATGCCACGCTGAAGAAGGACAAAGTATACAATCCTACCAATTGAGGAGGAATTTTCCCATTCAAATTGTTGTAGGAAAGATCTAAGCTTTCAATTTGCTGAAGGTGTGAAAATGTCATTGGGATTGATCCCGTCAAATTGTTGTGAGAAAGATTCAATGTATGAATCCTTGTAAGCAATCCAATTTGATAAGGAATCTCACCTGTAAGCTTATTGCAAGAAAGATCAATTCCGGACATGTATGTGAGAACTTTTCCCTCGTATAAGTACGATACATTCTTTGTTGTGAACGGAATAGTTTCCTCTTTTCCCCTCGGACCACCTCCATCTGGTGCAGGAGCAAAACTTGAAGTTGGAGCTTTAGCATCACTATCTTCTCTATCAAGTAAGCAAAAAGGAATTTGACCGAAAAAATTGTTATGGGAAAGATCTATCAAACGTAGTTGATTTAGCTTACACAAATGAGTTGGCACTTCACCTTCAAAACTATTATTCTTTAAAATAAGGTAGTTTAAGGAAGATAGCCTGTCAATCCATTTTGCAATGCTACCGTATAACTGATTAAAACTTAGATCTAATGTAACCAAGGAAGGGCTATAAAGGAATAAATTGTTTAGATGTCCTTGCAGCATATTCCTAGACAAGTGAAGTTGTTTGATAGATAAATTTCTTGAACAAGATGGTAAACTCCCAGAGATACTATTATTTGAAAGGTCCAAAACTTGAAGATTTCCAAGTTGACATAACTCAGTTGGAATTGGACCTTCTAGATGGTTATTAGGCATTATAATATCTTCTAACAATGATAGATTCCCTAACCATCTTGGGATTCTACCTGTGAGATGGTTGTCGCTGAAATACAATCCTTCTAATAAAGAACAATTAGACAACACTTCTGGGATCTTTCCAGTGAAGTTATTGCCATCCAGTTGTAACCTCATCAAGCTTGTCAAGTTAATTTTTTTGGAGAATATAGGACCTTCCAAACTATTGTTTGATAACACAAGATATTCTAGTGAAAAACAACCTAAAGTTAACTGCTCAGGTATTTCACCAGACAACTGATTGTGTGATAGATCCAAAATTTGCAATGAGCTCATGTCTCCAAAAGAAGAGGGAATGCTACCATTCAAAGCATTTCTGGAAATGTTTAATAGCAGTAGCCTCGGGAAAAATGCGCCAACTTCAATAGGAATTTGTCCACTGAAGGAATTGATGGAGATATCGAATATTGTTAAACTCATGTGAGAATGTGTTGGCAATAAAAAGGGCCCAGAAAGAGAATTATTTGATAGATAAAGTCTTTCCAATTTTGTATTGTTCTCTATCAACCAATTTGGGAATTCTCCATTCAATTTGATGTGAGAGAGATTCACATTTTGCAAATCATATTGATGATAAAGAAATCTTGGAAATGTAGCACCATATCCATAACCAGCCAAAGTGATGGAATTTAATTGGAATTTTGGGGTCAGAGAATGTGGCATTTTTTCTATATACATCTGGTTATTTTCGCTCTCGAATTCTTTGAGTTTTGATAGGTTGTAGAGTGGTGTGAGTGAAACTGGGATTTGGAGGAGGTTGTTTGAAATTCGGAGGACTCTAATAGATGTCATATCTTTAAGGGGAGATGAAGAGATGTTTCCAATAATTTGATTGGAAGATATATCTAATGATTGAAGAGAAGTCAAATTGGCTAAGCATGGAGGCAGTGTATCCCTTAAAGCATTATAGCTAATGTCTAACTCTTCTAGATGCATCATCTCACACAAACCTGAAATGAAACATTTCCTTGAATTATAAAAATATAATTGGCTAAGCATGAAGGCAAAGTATCCTGTAAAGCATTATAGCCTATATATAAATGTCTAATATCAATTTTCTCACTTTTAAATTTCACTTCAGCCTAAAAATGCAAGTGATTTTTGTAATAAATCATAAATTTCAATTGTTTCTTTATATTTTTTTATCTATTGTAAATGTATCCATTTGATCTAAGAAAAGAATCAACTTCCTTTTTTCTTTATTGTTTATGATAATGAAAATCAGACTTTGTGTAATTTCTAGATATGCCATCATTTTTTTAACAACATACAATTATTACAATAAATGGTATTTTGATACGGTGAATTTTATTGTGTAGCATAATATTTTAGATATGCTTATAATTTCAAATTTGTTTATCTAATTTTATAACATAAATGCGATTAATGGCATCATGCTAATAAAAAAAAAAAAAAGGCATTAAGAATCATAAAGTAAGAATAAGTCATGATCAATGGAAGAGAAAAAGACGAGTGAGAAAATCACTAACCTTGATCATGTAATGTGCCATTGAGTCTACAATTCTGCAATGATAACTTCTTTAGAGTAGTTATCGGTCTGATGATTTGACGAAAGCTATTGTTAAAAGTAGTCCCGTTCATAAATAAACTTTCTAAATTCTTGAATTTAATAGGACCTACACATATTGACATGAATTTTTGTGAATATTCATGAGCAAAAATGTTCCAAAATTTGAAATTATGAAACTATTATATTAAAAACCATATTAACTTTTCTAAAAGTACATTAAGTTCTTGTTAAGGATTAAATAGGGTGGACTTGAATAGTAAAGTTCCACTTAGAATATCGTATGGCAAATATTTAGATTTTAGGGCTAGGTAAATGCTTACTCTCTTAAAATATAAAATATAAATATTCTTGGAATTTCTTACCCACAGTTTAATAGAAAGGAGAATTACCATTTAATATACATAAATATTCTATGCATATAAAATTTTGTTCATATTCTATGTAAATCATTGAGAACACCAGTAAGTGTTTTATCTACCTATTGAAAACAATAAAGTTTAAAAGTTCTTTTTATTTTCATATAACTCAAATGTTCCAAAATTTGAAATTAAAAACCATATTAAATTATCAAAAAAGAAAAAAAATTAAGCTCAACTGCACATTCTACTTATTTTTTTTGTAGAATACCCCACATTTCTGTTATTTTTAAAGATTAAATGAGGTGGACTTAAATAGTAAAAGGAATTCAATCCAATCCATTCCAAAAGAGGAAAGTTACTACTGTTTTCAATATTTTATGACCAACATTTAAGGCTAATTAAAAGCCTGCTCCATTAAAATATAAACATTTGATCTCATTTTTAGGATTCCCAAATTTAGAATATTATAATAAAAGAAAAATTAATTTTCAATATGTATAGAAATTAATATTTGATCTCATTTTTGTAAATATTTCATTTTTTCTACATCTAACTTGAATATAAATTTTCTATCTGTACAAAAATTTCATTGATAACTGATTAATCATTGAGAACAATAAGAGGTGTTTGATCGCCAAATTGAAAACAAATTTTAATATCTAGGATTAAGTTTAAACATTATCTTATATATGAATTAATGCATATGAACCTAATCTTGAATTTACCTTGAACTTTTGAGATGCCATTGAGTTCACCATTTATCATTGACAAATGTTTCAGTGAAGTACAAGTGGCAACAGTTTGTAGAAAGCTTATATGGAGCTTTAACCCATCCAAGTTCAATTCTTCCAAGGTTGTCAAATTATGTAACTCTGTTAAAGCAATACAACAAATTTAAATCATGTTAGGTAAGTAATCGACAAATTGTCAACAACTTTGTTTTAACAATATAACTTTAACTTATCTCTTACCTTGAGTAATCATTGTTCGATTAAAACTATTAAATGAAAGGTCAAGTGTCTTTAAGGATGGGAACAACCTCAATGTTGACTGTAGAAAAATAGTTGCATCAGTGGTTTCAATACCACTACTTAGATAAAGGGCATTCAACTTCTTCAAGCCTCCATAATCTGTAAATTAAAAAACTGAATTATAATTAACAATCTTTAACTTAATACAAGGAAAGGATTTTACATAGGAATTTATTGTGTATTGAAGTTTCATTCATTTAATAAATAAGATTATATATTATTTCTGAAACTCAGTTTTCATATTTTGCAAATTCAAGAAAATGGTAAAAATATATTGCTAACTGGTGTTAGTAAGGCAAATTTAGACTTAAGTTTGAAACACTGCCGTTTTTGGTTAGTTAATAAATGTCTTCTCTCTCATGCTTCTTTTTGTTTCTAGAAACAGAGCTGAACTTCTTCACTTGTATAAGAAGAAGTCAATTACATTTTGTAATATTCAGTTTAAGTAAATAAAACTTTCGTGTTCTCTCTCAAGCTCTCTTTAAGTTTTTGCAGCTTTATTCTCAAAATACAGTTGGAGTATAAAGATTTAAACTCAAGATTCGGAACTTTTTTATTTCTAAAAAAAAAAAGAAAATTAAACTCAAGAATTATGTTTTGCAAAATAATATTTATAGTACACATAAAATCTTTTTTTTTTTTAAAAAAAAAAATTACCCTACATTTCCAAGTTAAAATTGTCAAATGCATTTGATTTTAAAGATAATACTAATATACAAACTATACCCCTACAACATTGTTGTTTAATATTTCAATAATATGAAAACTGTTTTAATACACAACAGAATAAAAAATTGATTTTTCATTTTTATTTTAAAAAATGATAATATAAAAATAATTTTACACAGCTATTCTATGCATCACTTAGTATAACAGTCTCAAATATTATCTTTGTATTAAAAAATAAAATCATTAAATATTAAATATTATTACTCCAGTTTAGTTATGGGCCTATGGTTGTAGAATGAATTGAATACCTTTGGAGTTGACAAATTTGTCAATCCTATTCCTGCTCATGTTCAGCATCTCCAAGTTTTCCAAGGATTGTAATCCTAGGAAAAAATGAAACAAATTTAATTAAAAACTCCCTAAGAAGGCTTGAGGAATTTGATCAAACTTACCTTGAATATCAACAGTTCCATTCAATCTATTATTATATAGATACAAAGATTTTAATGAGGAGAGACCACCCAAAGATGATAATATGCTATTTCTGAGCTTGTTATCACCTAAATTGATTAACTCCAAGTTACTCAAACCTGGAAATAGTCAAAAAAAAAATTACAAAATTAAACAATTTCATATAGTCAAATTAAACAGTTCAATTATATTGTGAAAAAAAAAAAGTTGAAGTTATGAGAATTAGAAGCTTGCTAATTACCTTGAATATTATACTACAAACAAATTTAAAAACCTTTTTATTATATTTAATAATTAAATATATTAAAAGAGTATTTACACCGGTAGAGTGAATGGCCACCGGTGCCGGTAATCATTTCCGACAACCGTGAACCCATGGATGGTAAACTGCGACGTCATGGAGTGATTCCAGAGGCAAAACGAACATCAGAACGACACTCTTGTAACGATCCACACATCTAGATTACACCCAATAAAAAAAAAAAAATGCACCATTTGGCCACAAGAAGAGGAGAGAGAAACGGCGACCCATAGCTTCTTCTCAACCTATGGCCAAAGCATAATTTATTTGCTAATTATTCTTACATACAACGATAGATCGTTTCGTGAGCAACAATCTGGTGCCGGCGGTGTCATCGGACGCTCTTCGGTGACTTTGCCATTTACTGGCGCCGGTCACCGGCGATCGGCACTCATAGTAATCATTATTATTATTTTACTTTTATATACTTATTATTAAGATAATTGTGTTTATATTTTCTATTAATTCATAATATTAACTATAATTAATGTTAAATAAAGTAATTAATACCTACCCTAATATTTGGTCAATTAATTAAATGATTCGCAAAATAAATTATTTAATACTAGAGGCATAATTAATGTCAATTAATATGGTAATTACTAAAATAAAATAATATATAATGACATAATTGCTATATATATTACATTAATAAATATAAGGATAAATTAGTAAATTAGGTCAATTAATTAAAAATAATAAATATAAGCATAAAGTAATTAATACTTACCTTAATTATTAGGCAATTAATGAAATGATTCCTAAAATAAAGTAGTTTAATATATGAATCATAATAACGTCAATTAATATAGTAATTACTAAACAAAAAATTAATAATAACATAATAGCTATATATAATATATTAATAAATGTAAGGATAAATTAGTAATAAATATATAAAATTTGAACTCAAGAATTATATTTTGGAAATTTTAAAACAAAATTCATAGAACACAAGAAATTATTTTACCCTACATTTTTAGTTAATAATGTCAAAATCCATTTAATTTAATATTTCATTAACATAAAAAAAAAATCATTTTAATATAAAATAATTTTACAAAACTATTCCGTTCCTTGATAGAGTCTCACACAAAGTTAAGACTATCCTAATAAATACAAATAAAATACTATTAAATATTTTTTTCATCATCTTACTTTGAGACTGACAAATTGGTCATTCATTATAGTCCTCAACTCCTTTAAGTTTTAAGGAATATAACCTAGGAAAAGATTAAACAATTTCACAGGTTAAAACTCTTTCTATACATAATTTAAAAGTTCAATTATCAAAAATTACAAAAAAGATTGAAATTAAGAGAATGAGAATGAGCAAAATTCTGATACGATGGTGTCATCGAAGTCTTCAGTGACTTTGCCAGTTTCCGACGTGAGTCACCGCGATCGACACTCATGGTAATCATTATTTTTATATATTTATATATTAAGATAATTTAATACATTTCTATTAATTATAATATTAACTAATAAATATTAATGTTTAAATAAAGTAATTAATAATTATCCTAATTAGGTTCATAATTAAATGATTCGTAAAATAAAGTAGTTAATTCTAGAGCATATAACGTCAATTAATATGGTAATTACTAAAATAAAAATTATATAATGACATAATTGCTATAAAATACGTACATAACAAATATAAGGAAAATTAGTAAATGTTAGGTCAATTAATCAAATGATTAATAAATATAAGGATAAAGTAATTAAACACCCTAATTATTGGCAATTAATGAAATGATTCCTAAATAAAAGTAGGTTAATACTATAACCATAATAACGTCAATTAATATAGTAATTACTATAACAAAAATAATTATATATAACATAATAGCTATATATAATTACATTAATATAATATAAGGATAAATTAGAAATAAATATATAAAAAAATTGAACTCAAGAATGATTTGGAAATTTTAATTCATGGTACACAAGAAATTTATTTTACCCTACATTTTTTTTTTTTTTTTGTGTAATAATGTCAAAATCCATTTAATTTAATATTCATTACATAAAAAAAAATATTTTTCATTTGTAATATAAAAATAATTACAAAACTATTCTCGTTTTCCCTTGATATAAGAGTCTCACAAAAGTTAAGACTATCCTAATTAAATTCAATAAAAACTTATTAGATTAATACAAATTGGTCACTTTTTCCAACCCATGTCCAACACTTTCAAAGAAGTAACCCTAGAAAAGATTAACAATTCAAGTTAAATTAAAATTCATTATACAATTTGTTTGGGAC